AGAGAGAGAGAGAGAATGACCATCCCATCTTCCTTTCCAGAATTAGCCTATTCTAGGCATTTTGCATGGGGAAGGCAAGCAAGTGGCGAGAAGCCAGGAGCTCATGTCCTAGGAAAGGCAATTTGGAAGGGATGGGGGCTGGGACCCACCTTGGCCTTAATCTCTGCAGACTGCCGCGGGGCAAATGGAATGGAATGGAAGTGTTTGGGCAGGCTGGGGTAGGTCTGGGACCAAGGTGTAGCGGTTATAGGGTAGCAGGCCTCCCTTCAACATGAGGAAGGGTTTCTAAGGGGCTACCCCAGGCACAGGTGCAGCTGCGTTGCCCTTGCCAAGCTCAGGTAAGGGGGACTGAAGGGGTGGGGAATGCGCAGAACTCCGTTTTTGGGGTTAGAAAGCCCTGGCTTGGGACCATTTGACCTTGTTGACCTTGGTCACCCTGGCCGTGAAGCAGCATCACTCCTGCCTCCCAGCCGGTGAGGCTGCTCAATAAGGAAGCGCCTTCCTAGGGCCTGGGAGGTGTTTGAAGGGATGGGCGCCCTGGCTACCCTGTTAGCCTGCTGTGGGCAGCTCACTAGACCAGTGTCCTCCCCTCTGCTACTATGTAACCACTGCCCTCATGACTGTCACCCCCACAGCCCCATTCAAGTGGCTGTTACCAGGACTGCCATCACCGTCCCTACCATGACGGTAGTTTCATCATTACTTGATTACTCCCACTCCTGCCATTGGTATTTCCCAGGGGAGCCTGCATGTCTGAATTTGTATCCTGGTTCACCCCGTGATGGCCATGTGGCCTTAGGCAAGCAATTTAATTTCTGCACCCTACCATCTATAACATGGGTAGAATAAAAATTGTCACCTACAATAAGTTTATTGTAAGTGTTGAACTTTTATATTATTTTATTTTAATGTGTGTGGCAGTGGGAGTTGAATTCAGGGCCTTCACATTAAGCTGTATCCCCAGCCCTCTTTATTTATTTTATTTTGAGATGAAGTCTGCATAAGACACTAAGTTGCCCAGGCTATGCTTGAACTTTCAGTCCTCCTGCCTCAGCCTCCCAGAGTCCTGGGATTACAGGGGTGCCCTGCCAACCTGGCTGAGCACATTAATACTTGTGAAATGCCTAGGTTAGTGTTTGGCTCATAATAAGCTCTGCATAAGCATAAAATAAGTAAATCCCTCTGCTGGTGTTACTACTTCTCTTATTTACTGTCCTCCCTATTGTTCCTGGGACTCCTACTGCTCTTACACTCCACTGTTACTGTTATCAATCTGTCGTTACTGCATCTGCTGTTCTTATCAGTCTGGTCCTGTGTTACCCTGAGCATGGCTTGGAGGCCAGCGATGCCCACACGGCCCAGTTGATGGAGCAAAGCAGGGCTACAGGAGGGAAGTGATTCCTCTGCCCAGGAAGCATCCTGAGACACATCCTGCAGAGTGAGGGCACTGTGGTGGTCAGCAGCAGCATCTCACCTCAGCACGCCCTGCCTGGCCTCAGGAGGAAGCAGGCGGTGAGGGCGATGTCGGGGGCAGTGGGCAGCCACGGGGATGCCCACCCCTCTCCTACTCACCGGCTTGAGCGAGGACGTGGGATCTGGTACGTACACAGGGGTGTGTAGATTGGAGCTAGGCTCGGTTTTGGAGACTTTTCCTCTATCCCGGAGGAACTTGGACTTCACGCACCCCATCCTGTGGCAGACAGAGAGAAGGGAGCCCAGATTGCCCAAGGCCCCATGCAAGCTGGCTCCCCACTGCCTCGCTGTCTCAGCACCCTGCAGCCCCCCTAGAGCTGCCTGACTGGGGCCCCCGGGGTTCCCTGCAGCACTGACCCAGGGTTCCCTGCAGCACTGACCCAGAGCAGAAAAGCCGTGCAGCTCCGGGCACCAAGGAGCAGTGGGACTTGGTGCTTACTCAGGATGAGTCACAAGGGGCTGCAAGCCACACAGGGAGAACCACGGCAGAGGAGGCAGCGGGGGGTGGGCACTGCTGGCTCCTGGGTTAGAAAGCCTGAGATGACCCCTGCCTCAGCCACTCCACCAGCTCCTCCCTTCTCACCAGTCCTAGTTCCTGAGCGGCAAGGGGCAAGATGGGACGACCATAAAGCCTCCTGGCAGGTGATAGAAGGCTGGGGAAGCCCCGGTGGAAATGCTCAGCACAGCCCAGGTTGAGCCACGGGAACATACAACTGTGCTATTGTTAGGCAGTAAATCTCAAAGATGGCATCAGGTAACGTGGCTCCAATAATCTAGCTAGGTACTAATCAAGGCCCCACATTCCCGGGGTCATTTTATAATTGGTTTCTATCCCTTCCTTCCCTTTCCTCCTCCCTCCTCCTCTTCCCCCTCCTCCTGCTCCTCCTTTTCTCTGTCTCTCTGTCTGTCTGTCTTTCTCTGGATTTATTTGGTCATTCAGCCATTCATACAATGTCAATAAACATTTGAGTATTTCTGTAACCCATGAACAAGGCAGGTAAATTCATGTCATTACAGAGCTTGAATAGATATGGCTGGGAGACACAGTTAATAAACAAGTAAACAAATAATTTGAGAAATGTAGCTAGTGAAACGCATGATGGCAATAAACTAGGTGACAAGGGAACAGGTAGGCAGGGACCCTTTGGTCAGGTGGCTGGGAACAGCCTCTCAAGAGGTGATGTGGGCCCTGCAGTCTGAATGACATAAGACGTAATGACGTAAGTCCAGTCCAGGGAAGAATGTTCTAGGCAGAGGCAGAGGGAAGTGTAAAAGCCCTGCGGCTAAGCTGTTTCTGGAGAAAGGAGGCCCTCCAGGCAGGGGGAGGATGGCAGGTGACAAGGCTGTCACATCTGCTGGGGCCTATGAAGAATTTGGATTTTATTCTAAGGATGGTGGAAAATCACACAAAGTTTTTCCTGGACAGTTATGGGGTGCAGTGGTTTCTGGGTGAGGCATGGACTCTAGGAGCGGGGCAGGGAGCCCGGTGGGATGAGATGATGATCGCCTGGAGTAGGAAATAAGAAGTGGGCAGATTTGGGGACACGTTAGAGGTGTCACACACTTAGACACGTTAGAGCTCACACACTTTGCTGCTTCTTAATTTAAAGATGCTTCAGGAGGGCTGAGGGTGGAGAGGAGGGCACTTGCCTGGTATGGGTGAAGCCTGGGGCCCAGCCCCAGGACTGCAGTAAATCAAAAGAACATGCTTAAAGAGAATACATTCGCTTGATGGCAGTCAGCGTTGATTGTGAAAGCCGGATGGCAGGAGCGTTTCATTTCTGTGCTCAGAAGGGTGCGTGGCTGGCTGAGCAGGGGGCTCGCGTGGCCACACGGAAGCACTGGCTCACCCAGCTCTACAAGTGCACTTTTCCTCTACAGCAGGCAGAATTCGGCTGTACTTGGTAGAGTAAACTTTGTATTTGTGGTTCAAGAAAGAAAAAATTCCAAATTCCTAGGTTTAGGGAAGTGACTTTATTATTTGTTTAGTTTTTTGAGATAGGGTCTCACAGTGTAGCCCAGGTTGGCCTCCAACTCACAGCAATCCTCCTGCCTCAGCCTCAGGAGTGCTGGGATTATAGGTGTGAGCTACTGCATCCAGTTTGGGGAAGTGACTTTAAACAAAGAGAAGATTCCTTTTATTTACCAGGATTTGTCTGTCCTGGTAGGGATTGGGAACAATTTACCACCTCAAGATGTGGAACAGTTTTTACTTCATTAGATAAAGAAACACATTTAGACTCTTACAACTCTGGCTCATTAATGTGAAAAATTACCAAAATTAATCACTGTTTTGTAACGTACTTGTATGTATTTAAAACTGAAACCAACATTTCTTTTGATGTATGATAAGTATGTATTGTAGTCCTGGGAAATTAAGCAGCATCTTGTGTGGGTTTTTTATGGCTTAAAATTGTGTGAATTACATTCCACATATTTTGATCAACAGAAGGGTGAGCTGCTGTGTGAGACAGGGCAGCTCCCTGCACCTCTTTGAGCACCCACTGATCTGCAACTCTAGGGCTCCCAGTTCCCAGCCCCCCACACTGGGCACCTAGTAATTGTAGAGGTACACGAGGGCCACAGGGCCCTGAGGGATGGGTCTCTCTAGGTCTCGTGTTCATTCCCAACCTGAAGGTCCTGGGGGAGGATGGTGGGGTGGTGGTGAGCGTTGAGGGGCTGACCATGTGGCACACAGGCGGCACTGCAGTCAACTGTCCTGCTTGCCAGCACAAAGGGTGCAGGCCTGGCTCACTTTGGAATTCCTGTGGCCCAGAAGCATAAGGCTGCAGCAGCTCTGGGGCAGCTACCCTCCTAGAACAGGAAGTCCCCATCACTTCCATTTAGCTCAACAAAGTGCAAGTGGGTTCTTTTTGTTTTTTTGTGGTGCTGAGGATCAAACTCAGAGTCTCATGTAGTCCAGGTGGGTGCCCTACCCCTCAGCCCCGAAGCGTGATTTTAAAGTAATGTAATGCAGGAGTTAAATGTGGCTGGCATTAAGCTAAGAGAACCATGTCCAATGCCTGGTGTGGAGTAGGCAACAGAATATCCTTTGTCAGGTTCACTAGACATGGAGATATCACATGAGCTGCATATAAAACTAAGGTTTTGTATGACTATATTTTTAAAAGCAAAAAGCCAAAAAAAAAAAAAAAAAAAAAGAAAAGAAAGGGAAAAAAAGCAAAAAGAAAACATGAAAATGAATTTATTTTTTTCCTTTTCAAGTTAGTGTCTCATTGTGTTGCCCAGGCTGGCCTTGAACCCCAGGGCTCAAAGGATCCTCCTGACTCAGCCTCCTGAGAAGCTGGAATGGCAGGTCCAACCCTGGCCTACATTTTTTATTGTACTTAGTCTTTAAGTCCCAGTGTGTGTGTTACTGGGTGCTCAGTCTCCATTTGGGCGGCTCAAAGCTTCTGCACCACACAGGGCAGAGGCAGCTGTTCCCATCATTGCCACAGTCGTGGCGGTTCTTGCTCATTCCCGAGTGCTTAGCCCGGTGCCCATCTGGTACACAGTAGCAGCCTCTGGACAGTCAGCGCGTGAGACCTGCCCAGGCACTGTGCTCTCTGCAGCAGACAGCACAGCTAACAGGATGCAGTTTCTGTTCCAGGAATGAGTTGAGAAGGGAAGACAGGAATGAAGGCCAAGGTTGGGAGTCATACGACTCAATTTTGGATCATGGTTCTGCCACTGACTGGCTATGGGCCATGGGGCAAATTACTTCCCCTCATTTTCTTTCCTCTAAAATAGGAGGCACCTAAACCAGGCACAGTGGTACACACCTGTAATACCAGCACTCTGGGAGGCTGAGGCAGGAGGATTGTAAGTTCAAACCCAGCCTGGGCAACTCAGCAACTCATTGAGGCCCTGTTTCAAAATAAAAAAATAAAAAGTGCTGGTGATGCACATCGGTGTGAAGGCCGTGTGTTCAAATCCCCAGTATTACAAAAAGAAAAAGGAGACACTTGCCACTTGCTTCTCAGGCTCAGCCCGAGGTGCCCTGCAATAAGGGATGTGAGAAACTTTTTACAACCCCCACACGTTTCTCGACTAATGTGGTTCAAAACCAGGCCCCAGAGCAGAAGTAGGCCCAGGTGCCCCACGCTTGCTCTGAAAGTTGACCCCTGGCCGCGACACTTCCTCAGCCACAGCCAACACCTGGAACCTGAAACCTGCTCCGCTGCCGGCTGGGCGGCTGGGACTGAGCAGTCAGCTGGCTGCCTGGCTGCTTTCCCGGTCAGCGCAACTGCTGAGGAGCTCTCAGTCCTGCTCTCAGCGCAAAGCAGAGGGTGGAGAGGCCGGCCAGCACCAGCCGGATGCAGGGAGCGCGCACCTGGTCCAGCACAGGTCTGCAGAGGCTGGGGGCTGCCGCACTGCATCCGGCCCCTTCCCTGTGAGCAGCTCACTGTGTGGCCTCAGAAGTCCCCAGCTCTCTCTGGGCCTTGCTTTCCCAGGGAGGAGTTGGACATGACGTCCTCTGAGCCGGCAGCTGCGGCATGGCGTCTGCTCCTCTTCCTCTTCCTTCAACCCCAGCTTTCCTCTGGGGACGTCCTCTCCCCAGTCTCACTTCATGGATTAGGAAAGTGGACTCCAGCCCCTCAACCCTGCTGCAGCCATGTGTCTGTGACCAAGCCTGCTGAGTGGAAGGAACAGAAACAGAAATGGGCCTGGGACGGTCCCAGCCAAGGAGAACCAGGCTGTGGCCTCTGCTTGGAACCAGGCTTTTAGCAGCAAGGTGCAGCCCAGAAATGGAGAAATACAGATTTCTAGGCTTACGTTCAGCCTTTTCTGCAGCTGATATCTCACAGACTTTCTAATAACTTCCCTCTTCTGCTTGCGCTTGTTGAGGGCCAATTTCTGCTCCCTTAAACAACAGAGTACTCTTCAGTACTTACAAGAGATTATAATTCACACTCAAGTGTAAATGACTGATAGCAAAGACTTCTAGTTTTAATAGAAGTTAAGATGATACTAGAGCCATAGAGTAGGTGAGGCTGGGTGGAATACAGGCCCCATTAAACTGATGGTACTGAAGCCATACCTCAAAAGCACCTGGCATATGATAGCCCCTCCATACACATTTGTGGAGTGAATGGGTTGTGTTCTACTCCCTACAAGCCTCACCATACGGGGCCAAAGACAGACCAGAATTGTGAACCCATTTCTCAGATAGAACAGTGAAGGGTTTGGGAGAGAGTATCTCCCCATAGTAAGTGA